CATAAAATTTTAGATTGATGAATTCTGAATACTAATCCTTTTATATGCATGACAAATTTTTTTTTTCCAGTTTATGCCTTTCTAATTTAAGGTTTTAAATCTATTTATGTATTTATTGTGAATGGGTAGTATGTTCACATGAATCAAAAATCCAGAAAATACAAAAGAACATACAGTGAAAAGTTTTTCTCCCACTCCTGTTCTTTCATCCAGTTCCTCTCTCCAGAGGCATTTTGACTTCATTTTTTAAATTTATTTATTTATTTTTTATTTTTTAAAGATTTTATTTATTTATTTGAGAGAGGGAATGAGATAGAGAGAGCATGAGAGGGGGGAGGGTCAGAGGGAGAAGCAGACTCTCTGCTGAGCAGGGAGCCCGATGCGGGACTTGATCCTGGAACTCCAGGATCATGACCCGAGCCAAAGGCAGTCACTTAACCAACTGAGCCACCCAGGCGCCCTTGACTTCATTTTTAAAGAACTTTGTTCATAATGTCATTTGTTGTACACACATTTAAAATTTTAATGTAGTTAAATGTATCAGTCTTTTCTTTGTGGATTATGCTTTTTATGCCTTGTTTAAGACACATTTCCTCTGCCTCCGTTATTATTCGTTATTCTTTTCTAAACTGTTTAAAATTTGGCTTTTCATATTTTGATCTTTTTTCTATTTTTTATGTATGATGTGAGGTAGGGATCATCCTTCCCTCCATACATAAAAGTACTTGTCCTTATGCTCTTATATTATATGATTGTTTTGTCCATGTTGGCAAATACAATGAACTGGTCCAGTTTATTTCTGTTTTGTTCCTACTTGCAAATGAGTGCTTAGAGTCCTGATAAGTACTGCCTTTCAGGCCCCATAATGTGTCCTTGTGTCCTCTCACATGTCTGGAATTTGTGTAGGCTGGGATAGGGCAGGGAAAGGAGGGTTCCTTTGTCACAACAAACAAGGAGAAAGCTTTTTTCCCTGTCTCTTCGATTTACCAATGCCTCATCAGAAGCTTTCAGCACTTATGTAAGAAATTAAATTTTTTTTCTTGAACCTTGAGCAAACTTAGACTTTGTTTTAAAATAAGATACTGTAGAGTAGGAAGTTGTTTTGCTTAAATGTAATATTCTTTTCTTTAGCCCTAGAAATTTCTTAAAGTTCTTAATCATGTTCCTTGATATTCTCGGCTTTATATTGTGGTATTGTGTATTCTGTGGAAAGGGATTAGCAGCCTATGTGGTATGGGGGTAATTAAAAAATGTAATCCACTCTATCTTTTCCGTCTCCCATCTTCCATTTTACTTCTTTTTTATTTATTTATTTTTGTTATTTTTTTTTTAAAGATTTTATTTATTCATTTGCGAGAGAGAGAGAGAGAGAACAAGCAGGGGGAGAGGCAGAGGGAGAGGGAGAAGCAGACTCCCTGCTGAGCAAGGAGCCTGATGCGGGACTCGATCCCAGGACCCTGGGATCATGACCTGAGCCGAAGGCAGACGCTTAACCATCTGAGCCACCCAGGCGCCCCATTTTACTTCTTTTTTAATAACTTCTCTCTCTTGCATCCTGTCTTACCAAATAGATGCTCCACTCAGAAAAAGTGAAAAAAGAGAAGTAAAAAACTAAAGACATTCAGATGGGGCAAAACAAGAGTGAATGATCATGGGAAGAAAGGAGACAAAGTAGAAGGAGAAAAGAAACTGAGATTGCCTATTACCTGTGGGTTAGGACTTCCAAGGGAACTTTTTCTGGTATTCTTTGTGAATAGGTAGAGGGAGCCTTGAACTTACTTATTCTTCTACCTGTTCTTCTTATTTAGGTGGGGGCAGACTTGGGGGTGATGGCCAGGTAGGGAGGACTCTACTGAGAAGCTAGGGCTTTGTGCTTCTAGCTCCTTTCTCACTTTTGTATTTGATCCAGTTTAGTGCTGGAGGATCATCTGTGATGGAAGTTTTAGAATCTTAACCGAATATTGCTCTGGATATTAATAAAATAAAGATCTGAAGGTTATATGTCTGTTGTGTTTCTACTTCAGGAAGGTAATGGATGCTATTTATGCATATTTATATGTTAGAACTAATTTGATCTGAAATCTGTTTTTCAGAATTAAAAGGGATGTGAAGTCCATAAAATGATAGTTCAGACTCAGTAAATTATAAGAGTCTGAAGTGCTAACACATTTCATGATTTTTCTGGCTCAGAGTAGTGATTTCTCATTGGCGGTGATTATAAACAGTAGTTTTATATTGACTCATCTTTCTTAACTAAAATAAGGTGACACTAAAAAAAAAGAGGTTTTGTCAATGGTTTAGGATACACTTGCTTTTGATTTTAATTGCCTTATAATCATCTGTACCTTTACAGGGAAAATAACCTTTCCTTGTGTATAAAAAGGTCAAGTCGGTAAGCAGTTTTAGATCTCTTTCTTTAATGAGTTTTTGGCTTGAGAATACATGTTCATAATTTTAAATTTTTATGTGAATTTTTTTATTATCATTTCAGAGAAAAGGAATTTATTAAGCCACCAATTGAAGATTTGGACAATTGAGTAAAATTATGTAGTAATTTTTCAAGGAAGAAGTGATGAACTTTGAAGTTTTCCCATGCCATGTTTTCATTATACCGTTATTAGAAATTATCCGTGTAGTGTTGACAAAGTAGATTATAGATTACTGATATTTAATATTTAGAGTGTCATTTTTCCTGGAACAGTTTTTTGGTACCTAGGATTTTGTGGAAGACTTTTAAGTTGTAATTGTTTTTTTTGTTTGTTTGTTTTTGTTTTTATCATGGGAATGTTTATATTTGTCAGGTGAATTTCAGCTTTGCCGGACAGATGTGATGACTTGTTCTTTCTGTTTTGTGTTCTGTCTACTCATTGGTTATATAATAGATGACTTTATATAATAAGGATTAGAACAAGCCATTAGAGTTGATTGATAATGGACACAAACAAGTAGTGTTGTGTCTGTTATCAGAGATGGAATAATATAGTTCTTATATGTAACATGTTAAAAGTACAAGGGAGGGGCGCCTGGGTGGCTCAGTTGGTTAAGCAACTGCCTTCGGCTCAGGTCATGATCCTGGAGTCCCGGGATCGAGTCCCGCATCGGGCTCCCTGCTCGGCAGGGAGTCTGCTTCTCCCTCTGACCCTCTTCCCTCTCGTGCTCTCTATCTCTCATTCTCTCTCTCTCAAATAAATAAAATAAAATCTTTAAAAAAAAAAAAGTACAAGGGAGTATAGTAGTTAGGCATTGGAAAACAGTAAATAGGGAAGAAAATATTTCTTGAGAGTCAAAGGAGCTTTGCCAGGAATATAGCCCGGGTAATGTAGGAGTGGGAAACCAGCTAAGATCAGGGGCCAACAGAACGTATCTGCTTAGTATTATTCAGTGACAGAAAAGTGAAATTAGGGGCAAGATAGAGAAGTTTTCCAAGTGCCCTAGAAAGAAGAACCTGTCTGAACAAAGGTTGGACTTGGATGATGGGTAGAGGCATCCAGAGTTGAAGGATTTTAAAATAGAACCTATTTATGGACCTGGGTAAGGTGGAATTAATATCTATTTTATATACTTGTAAATGCCTTCCATTCTGGTGAAGGTGTTTCGATTATGAGGAACAGAATCCAAGGGCAGCTGTTTCAATTAAAGTGGGCCGATTATTAGTAAACGCCTGTGTAGGCTTCCTGCTCGGGAGGTTGGGGGGTCTGCTTCTCTTTCTCCCTCTCTCTTTCAAATAAATAAATAAAAGATTTTATTAATTTATTTGACAGAGAGAGACACAGCGAGATCAGGAACACAAGCAGGGGGAGTGGGAGAGGGAGAAGCAGGCTTCTCGCAGAGCAGGGAGCCCAATGCGGGGCTCGATCCCAGGACCCTGGGATCATGACCTGAGCCGAAGGCAGATGCTTAACGACTGAGCCACCCAGGCACCCCAAATAAATAAAATCTTAAAAAAAAAAAAGAAAAGAAAAAAGAAAGAAAACACCTGTGTAGGGACCCAGGAACTAAAGAACCCTATGGGTAGAGTAAATATCTCCAAAATGTCTATTACACTATTTAGATGTAGTTTTAGCTCTTAAACAGGCTCATACTTACTGTCATGTGGTTTCTGTGGCATTTGAGACTGGTCTAAATGTTGTATTGTCAGCAGTTGGGACACTGCATGGGAAATACTGTACAGTACTGGCTGTAGTGCCAAGAAGGCCTTAATTTAATATTACCCATTGCTATGTTAGGAAGAACAGCAGTAGGTCTGGCGTCTTACAAGTATTTAACAGTAAAAATTCAGGGTTTGGCTATTTTAATAAGGAAATGTGCTCTATGTGACTACCAAATTTAATATACTGTTGGGCTTGGGAGGCTGTAAGGATCTATATCTTCTTATGGCATTTGCCTGAAATTAAGGGGCAAATTCGGGTCTTATTTATTTGTTTATTTATTTTTTTTTAAAGATTTTATTTATTAGAGCGTGAATGAGCACGAGCAGGTGGGGAGGGGCAGAGGGAGAGGGAGAAGTGGACTCCCTGTTGAGCAGGGAGTCAGGTCATATTTAGAGGTTATTTGGTATCTTTTTATTAAATGAAATTCCTAAGTATCTAGGTGCGTATAACCTAAATAGCAACAAGGTCAAATTGTCTTCTTTTGTACAGTGAGCAGATTAAGGATTAGGTTTTTCAAAAGACCAATACGTAGGAGCGCCTGGGTGGCTCAGTCGTTAAGCGTCTGCCTTCGGCTCGGGTCATGATCCCAGGGTCCTGGGATCGAGCCCCGCATCGGGCTACCTGCTCTGCGGGAAGCCTGCTTCTCCCTCTCCCACTCCCCCTGCTTGTGTTCCTGCTCTCGTGATCTCTCTGTGAAATAAATAAAATCTTTAAAACAAAACAAAACAAACCAAAAGACCAATATGTAGATTAACCCACAGAAAGAATAAATAATTGTATGGCTTAGAGAGCATGAGAAAAATGTAAAAATGATCCCCCCTAAAGTGTCTTCTGTTTTATTTTTTTCAGTGATGCCATCTGTAATTTTGTTATCTGCAATGACTCTTCCCTTCGAGGACAGCCTATTATTTTCAATCCTGACTTTTTTGTGGAAAAACTCCGACATGAGAAACCTGAGGTGTTCACCGAGTTGGTGGTCAGCAATATCACAAGGCTCATTGACTTACCTGGAACCGAGTTGGCTCAGCTGATGGGAGAAGTGGACCTTAAATTGCCTGGTGGGGCTGGCCCGGCGTCAGGATTCTTCCGGTCTCTAATGTCTCTCAAGCGAAAGGGTAGGGGATGTGTCTGTGAAGGGTGGGCAGGTCTCAGCTGCTCCCTGGGCTTGTCTATTCGCTGAGTTGCTATTATGTAAAGTTTTTTTTTTTTGTCATTTTTCTCAAGTAGTAAAATCTTAAGTTAGCAATACAAATTTTATTTTATTTTTTAAGATTTCATTTATTTGACAGAGAGAGACACAGTCAGAGAGGGAACACAAGCAGGGGGAGTGGGAGAGGGAGAAGCAGGCCTCCTGAGGAGCAGGGAGCCCGATGTGGGACTCAAGCCCAGGACCCTGGGATCATGACCTGAGCCGAAGGCAGATGCTTAACGGCTGAGCCACCCAGGTGCCCTAGCAATAAAAATTTTAAAAAGTATCTAAACTAAAGGAAGTATATCAGTCCCTGAGAGAGATGACATGATTTAGTTTAGGTAGTTATCAGGGGCACCTTGATTTTCATGCCCTATGACATTGCTGGAGAGTACAGTAAAGAAAGTTTGAACATTTTTTATTGCAGTTCTCAAATGTTTTCATTCTATGGACTGCTTTGATAAGGCAAATACCTATGAGTCACCCAAAATAAAAGCCTTCCTAGAAAATAAATTGTGGCACTGCTTTTGATAAGACATTAAAGAGGTACTCTTTGATTTTATTAAGTATAAGAAAATCATTTATGGTAGAAAAAAGTTTAAATATTATGACAGATCAGGCCCTATACCAACGTTAGTGGATAATCTGTCATACCTTGACAACTGTGGTTCTAAATTCTGTTTATTTCTTTATCTATTTTAAAGGTTTTATTTATTTATCTTAGAGTGTGTGGGCTCAAGTGGGGGAAGGGGCAGAGGGAGAGGGAAAGAGAGAATCTCATGCAGACTCTGTGCGAGGTTGGAGCCCAATGCAGGGCTTGATCTCAGGACCCTGAGATCATGCTCCGAGCTGAACCCAAGAGTTGGATGCTCAACCGACTGAGCCACCCAGGCTCCTCACTGTTTTTCTTTTAAGTTAAATATCAACATGCTAGGTATTGTTACTTTTTTTTTTTTAAAGATTTTATTTATTTATTTGACAGAGAGAGAGACAGCGAGAGAGGGAACACAGGCGGGGTGGGGGAGAGGGAGAGGGAGAAGGAGACTTCCTGCTGAGCGGGGAGCCTGATGCGGGGCTCGATCCCAGGACCCCGGGATCATGACCCAAGCCAAAGGCAGACGCTTAACGACTGAGCCACCCAGGCGCCCCTAGGTATTGTTACTTAAATAAGAAGATGGTCTTTGCCTTCAAGGAACCTATAGTCTAATATTAAACTTTCAGAGAGTTGATAGTTGTTGTTGCATTTTTGGGTGTACTTCCAGCTTTAAGGTTTTGTTTACTGAACCTGTGAAAGCATATAACTATGTTATAGTTCAGCTGAACTATAACATGGGATGCTTGAGTGGCTTTAAGAATGATGATTTTGTACTATTTATGGAAAATATGGCTCTGTCCTGTCATGTTTTTTAGAAAAAGGAGTGGTATTTGGATCCCCATTGACAGAGGAAGGCATTGCCCAGATATACCAACTGATTGAGTATCTACACAAAAGTAAGACTTCTCAAGATTTTGTTGTTCTTTGTTAATGAAGAGTTGTCAGTTTTCTGTTGAAAGCTAACTTCCTTGAGTTAGTAGGTGTCAATGAACAGAAGACACTAACCAATGATAATTTTAGGTGGTGTGTTTCTAAATATATTTCCTTTTAAATTTCATCTCATATATTGGTTTGTTTTATACTCTCAAAGATGTAGATAAATTAGATAGTATCTATGAAATCACATCTTCCCCTTGACTCAGGCTTTTTTTTTTTTTTGGAAAAATACATTGTCTCTAAAGAATCATAATCTTTACTCAAGGGAACATGATTTATCACCAAAGATACTTTCATCCCTGTAATTCTATAATTAAAATATACTCTTTGCTTAATTCCTATTTATTTTGTGGTAGTCATACTGGTTATGTCTTGCTCTAAGTGCTTGGTACAGTTGAGTGTATGTGAAATGTGTGGTGTGTGTGATGCTTTGATAAACTCAATACGAATGCTTATTTATGACATTTTATGTGGGGCACTGTGGTAGGAGCTAGAGCAGAGGTTGCAAACTGATGGCGTAAGGACTTGAGTCCTCTATGTTCATATTTTGTTTGGTTGGCAAAGGATGAAATTAAAAATAAAATCAGTTATCAGTAGGGAATGGGGAAAGTCCAGGTTTTTGAATTCTTTGGGTGATAGGAAGATCTAGTATCCTGGGGCCCCCACTTGGACACAATCAACTGGAGCACAGGTATGTGCTCTCTAGTTTGTTTTGGTTCCCATTCATTCATTTATTATTATCTGCCTGGCCCTCTAGGCATTTGAACTTGAACCCCTGAATTAGGGGGCTATACAAAAATAAATGTGTGCCTAGTGCCTAAGCTGAAAACATGAACTCTCATGGGTCTTCCAGATCGAACCAAAACTATAATTCTCATCTTTCTTTATCCTCTTAGATTAACTTAGAACCTGGTTGGAAAGGAAAAACAGTTCAGTTGGGATGATCCTAAGCTTCTGGGAATCTCAGACTGAAAGGTGATATGACAGGTTAGAGTTCTAATTTCTGGGGCAGTGCAGAGACTCTAGATTCATTTTGGACTGGGAAACCATTTACAGGAGCAACAAACTTCCACAGATGAATTCAGCCCCTCCAGACAAAGTCTGAGATGACCAAAGGGAAGGGGGCCCTCTGGGAGATTTGGCTTTCTTCCAACTTATTTTTCAAGCTCATTCCAGTCATCGTTTAGGTTAAATTCAGTCTCCAGATGTGCCTGGTCCTGGGGAGACTGTCTCCAGGTGCTCAGGGATGTTCAGGTAAGTCTCCTCAGCGGCCAGTAGGTTCGAAACTTTTCTGGGAAAAGGGAAGAAAACCTCCTTCAAGGTCTTTATATAAGGTCTTTCAAGTGTAGTCTTTTAGATGACTTATTTTAATTGTAACTTCTTTTTGCATGTCCTCTGTTTTTTCCATGCTAAACAGACTTGAGAGTAGAGGGTTTGTTTAGAGTACCAGGGAATAGTGTCCGACAGCAGATTTTAAGAGATGCTCTCAATAATGGAACTGATATTGACTTGGAATCGGGGGAGTTTCATTCAAATGACGTTGCTACCTTGCTGAAGATGTTTCTGGGAGAGTTACCTGAGCCCCTGCTGACTCATAAACATTTCCATGCGCACCTCAAAATTGCTGGTGAGTATAGGAGGTGAGAAGGAGATGTACATAAATCCATTTCGATTGAGTAAAGTTGTTTGGCATTTTCTGTTGGTTGTAACCCACAGCAGTACTTCTGCCAAAATTGGTTAAGACTTCATGAAATTTTGGGCTTTCTGGGTAGTATTGGCTAATTAAGTTTGATTTAAGCAGGTGTTTTTCTTGCTAAATCAGCTTCTTTGATGATAAATTCTGGGTTTTATTTATTCTTGAATCCCTGATGGATCCTAGCATTGTGCTTTGAATATTTTAGTTGCTTAATAAATGAATGCTTTTCACTGGATTGATTCACATACCCGAGATGGTTACAGGTTTGCTGTATTTGCCTTGGTTTGGGGCTTTAGCTAAGTATTACTATGCCTCAGTTGAGATCATCTCTAATCTTGGAAACTTGTTTTTTGAAAATAATTTTATTTGTTTTCTAAATAAGCAATACACTCACACGGTTCAAAATTCAAAAGATTCAAAAGAGAATACAGTAAAAAGCCTGTCTCCCACCTCTCTTGCCCAATACCCAGTTTTTCTTCCTGAAGGCAACCAAGGCTGTTGATTTCTAATGTATCCTTCCGGAGGTATTTTGTACATTCACAAACAAATACTTATATATATTCTTTTTCTCTCCTTTTATGTAATGGTAGGATATTATATACATTGTTCTGTGGTTTGCTTTTTTCACTCTGTATCTTGGAGGATGTTCCATTTTCAGCTCATATTTTCCTCATTTTCTTTTATGTCTGTGTGGTAGGGAATTCATTTTTAAATTGCACAGCTCTTAGGCTGCTATAGGCTCTAAGTGCACATGGCATCAAAATCCATACTGCATTTACTTGGTTTTCTGCCCTTGGGCATTTCCCCCTTTTTTTTTTAATTTTAAGGAAAATATAAGATTTTTTTTCATTGAGTAATTTTTACTATTTAAAAAACTAGCTTTGAATTTCTAAAATCTCGTAAGATTAGATTTTTTTTAAGCACTCTCTGACAATCTGGATTATACAAATGAATAAATGTTATTAGAATGTTATATAACTATAATTATTTTGGAGAGAAATAAAGTATATAACTATAATTATTTTGGAGAGAAAAAAGGTGGATCTCAAAAAAGATATGGAAAATATTGATACTTTTTTTTGTAAATGTTATCATGAATGCTTATTCTGTTTACTTTTCCATTGAGTTAATTTAGCGCAATATTTGAAATCCTCCGCTCCCTCACCCCGTGACTCAGTGTTCCTTGTGATCATACTGAGGTGTGGCACAGTTGCAGCATTTGGTATGCTTTGCTGATAACTGGAAGGGATTTTTGTTTTCAGTTTCATGTTAACAGGGAATAGTTTCTAGAAATATTACCTGCCTTTCCTAAACTTGGAGTTATTATTATTTTTATTATTTTTTAAAGATTTTATTTATTTATTTATTTGAGAGAGCGAGAATGAGAGAGAGAGCACATGAGAGGGGGGAGGGTCGGAGGGAGAAGCAGACTCCCCGCTGAGCAGGGAGCCTGATGCGGGACTTGATCCCAGGACTCCAGGATCATGACCTGAGCCGAAGGCAGTCGCTTAACCAACTGAGCCACCCAGGCACCCAACTTGGAATTATTATTGAAGTTAAATAGTTTAAACAACACATTATAATTTTCAGGACTATAGGAATTATATCCAAATGGCTATTTGTGTCCTTTGAAGTGCTGATTATCCAGGGGACTGTTTTTATTGATAACCTGTGTAGCTTCTTAGGGGAGAAACAGTGATTCTGATTCCATGGAGGGGCTGCGTGGATCATCCTGTTCTCAGTGCATAATTCACTATCCTGTTTCTTTTAGCAGTAAAATATCTGGGTGAGGAAAAGTGAAGGGGGTGGCATTGTCAAAGATCTGTGTGGACCTGTTTTCATTTCTTTATATCCCTAAGAATATGTACCTGGGAATGGAATTGCTTTGTCATATGGTAACACTGTGTTTAGCTTTCTGAGGAACTGTCAAACTGTTTTCCAAAGTGTACCGTTTTACATTCCTACCAGCAGTGTAGGAGGGTTTAACTTTCTCAACATTCTTGCCAACACTTGTTATTTTCAGTTTTTGGGTTATGCCATACTAGTGGGTATAAAGTAGTATCTCATTGTGGTTTTGATTTACTTTTCCCTGATAGCTAATGATACAGAGTATACAAATGTTTATTGGCCATTTGTATATCTTCTTTGTAGGAATGTTTATTCAGGTCTTTTGCCTATTTAAAAAATTTTTTTTGGTCTTTTTATTATTGAATTGTACTGATACTATTTTGTTAATATATTTTGCTATAATCTCTGTTTATGCCTGATTCTTTTTTTCTTCTTCTTTTTTTTTTAACATCTTTTTTTGATTGGAGTTGAGGGGAGGATAATAGTAGGCATGGTGATTTTTCTTGCTTGTATTTTCTCCCTCCTTTGCAATCATTTCTTTTGTCCTTAAGATTTGATGCAGTTTGATGATAAAGGAAACAAGACCAATGTACCGGATAAGGAGCGGCAGATTGAGGCTCTCCAGTTGCTCTTCCTCATTCTCCCTCCACCCAATCGTAACTTGCTGAAGTTATTGCTTGATCTCCTGTACCAGACAGCAAAGAAACAAGACAAGAATAAGATGTCTGCCTATAACCTTGCCCTTATGTTTGCACCCCATGTCCTGTGGCCGAAAAATGTGAGTGTTAAGGGGAAGAGCAAAGACTGCTTGGTTTTCTTGGGCTGGGCCTCATCCTCTGGCTGTACCTTGGTGAGGTTATCAAGGGTCCAAGGTCTACTCTTCAACTTTACAAGGTTAGGAACATACTTTATTAGTTCATTAGGGAGTCATCAAACCTGAAGGGGCCAGTTCTTGTAACCTCATGTATAAATCAATCCCTGATAAAACTGAAAGACAATTAATGGAAGCTCTTAGTGGAAAATTATAGCTACTACCTAAACTAGAATACTCATTTTGGCTGGTCACTGTATATTCCTTCTTAACAGGAAAACCTTTTGAGAAATCAGATTGATTTCTGAAGATTGTGTGGTATAAATTTAGACTAGACCCATACAGTTTTATAGGATAATGTCACTAAGCTTTTAGCTAAGATGATATAGAACAATCCTGCCTTATCCTGACTTTTCTATTTCCTGTAGATATGCTCTCCGTGGAAAAAGCTGAATGTGTTTTTTATTACTGAAATCATGGCTTTTTTTTTTTTTAAAGATTTTATTCATTTATTTGATAGAGAGAGAGTTAGCGAGAGCAGGAACACAAGCAGGGGGAGTGGGAGAGGGAGAAGCAGGCTTCCCGCCGAGCAGGGAGCCCGATGTGGGGCTTGATCCCAGGACCCTGGGACCATGACCCGAGCCGAAGGCAAACGGCTCAGCTTAACGGCTGAGCCACCCAGGCACCCCATGAAATCATGGCTTTCTCAATGACTTACATGAGAAATAAATTATCAAAAGTCTTTTGAACTCATTTTTGACCTGGAGGCACATAGCTTTATGTTCCTGCCATTCATATATATATATATATATATATATTTTTAAAGATTTTATTTATTTATTTGTGAGAGAGACGGGGGCAGGGAGAGAGCACAAGCAGGGGGAGGGGCAAAGGGACAAGCAGACTTCCAGCTGAGGAGGGAGCCCAATGGGGGCTCGATCCTGAGAGTCTGGGATCATGACCTGAGCCAAAGGCAGACGCCCGATTGACTGAGCCACCCAGGTACCCCTGTTCCTGCCCATTCATAATATAGGTTTTATTGTATGATGGAATTGGGAGCCAGAATATTTGGGTTGGAAGCTGCAAAACAGGTATGTTATCTGTGTCCTTTGCCCTTTTTATGCTTAGGCTCTTCCTCTGTAAACTGGGCATAAATTAGTTCTTTATCACTTATCTCATAAGGTTGTTAGACTAGAAACGGATAGGATATGGTGACTTATAAAAGATTTTCTGGATTATAAGAAATGAGAAAAGGAAGATTAAAGAGAGCGGTTGTGGAATGCCTGGCTGGCTCAGTCAGTAGAGCTTGCGATTCTTGATCTTGGGGTCGTGAGTTCCAGCCTCACATTGGGCTCATGGAGCTTACTTTATCAAAAAAAAAGAAAAAAAAAAGAAAGAAAGCAGTTGTGTAGAACATTTTACATAACAAGTAACTAGTGAAAAAAATGTGATGTTCCAGGCTGGGAAGAACCTCTGCCCAGACAAAGGTTGGGGGGGTGCGGGCTGTAAGAAGAAAAGGACACAACATTGGTCCATATTAAGGAGATCAAGCCTCCTAAAGAAAGAATTTCAGAACCAGCCAACTGAAATTATGAAAAAAGTGAGTAATCTGTGCCTATAAAAAGAAATATTAAGGGGCGCCTGGGTGGCTCAGTCCTTGGGTGTCTTCCTTCGGCTCAGGTCATGGTCCCAGGGTCCTGCTTGGCGGGAAGCCTGCTGCTCCCTCCCCCACTCCCCCCTGCTTGTGTTCCCTCTCTTGCTGCCTCTCTGTCAAACAAATAAATAAAATCTTAAAAAAAATATTAACAGATCTTGGTGAAAGCAAACATTAAGTAACAGAGACGAGGGCTTTGGGATAGTCTAGTGCTCAAGTACTTAAAAAAAGAGGCAGGAGAAACAAGAAAATCAATGACCATTTGTGTTTTTAAGACATAGATGTCACCTTTGATATCAATTAGTCGTGACAGTTCTCTCGCCTTTGGAGAAACCAGTTTCTCTGAAGAGGCAGTGTCCTTGGTGGTTGGTATAGATTCTGTTCTTCCTGCCTAAATTTTTTGAATCTCAGACTAGATTTTCTTCAGCAACTCTGCTTGCATGTATAATTCTCAAGCAGAATTCGGAAATAAAGATTGGTTTTCAAGGATTCCTTGGTAACTTCAGGGACACGTGGTTTCTCCTAGGCTATGTCATATTCAGTAGAAACCTGCCAACCAAAAAGCCTTTCCAGAATTAAACATTATATTAGAGGCACCTTTGTTAGGGAAGGAAGCCACTATACCTTTGAAGGAATAAGCTTATTGGTAAGTACATGGAGTATCTCTTCTACTTCCCAGCTCTTAATCCCCCTCTTTTGATTTCTTTTCCTCTGAATAGGTCACTGCAAATGACCTTCAAGAGAATATCACAAAGTTAAACAATGGGATGGCTTTTATGATTAAACACTCCCAGAAACTTTTTAAGGTAGGTAAGGGATGGGATTTGGGTGGCAATAGGACAAGGAAGTTGAAGCCTGGTGGGATCCTCAGCAGGGCTATAAGGATGACTAATAAGAAAGGCCCTGACTGGGACTGGAAACCAGACTGGACAGTGGCGAAACCCAGAGAAATTGACCAAGGTGGGGAGGAATAGGAAGGTACCGGAGGCTGAGTAGGATAATTGGCTCCACTCTGGGTCGTCTTTCCTTTTTCATGAAAGGCAGTGTGTATTGGCATGAGTGAGTTTATCCTGCCTGCTTCCTGTCAGTAGAGTTGTGAGGGTCTGACAGTCTCTTTTCATTTTGTACTTTGTCCCTTTTAGTCCAAACTATCAATGTTTCTGCCCACATAATTTTCTCAACTTTGTGGTTCTGTGGATTTTGGAGGGATTCACTCTGTTAGACAAAAGCCACATATGCAGATCTTTTGAAGACAAACCCTTCTCTACCATGGTCTCCTGCTGAGAAGACTGAGGGACAATACCTTTCACCTTCCCAGAGGCCCTCTGGTTTGATTGAGAGGATCTTTATTCTCTTGAAAGGGCCCTTTGTGTGACTGAAAATTTTGACCTTTTGATGTTTCTAAGATTCAAACAAAAAGTTGTACAGTCATATCCTTGGTCCTTAGAGCATACTTTCCTGATAGTGAATTTCTCAATTTTAGTGTCTTGCCATCTGGAAAGGCTGAGAATTGAGAGAGAAGTTCTTCATATAAGTGGAATCACGCTTTTTGTGATTAGCTTATTTCACTTAGCATGTTTTCAAGGTTCATCCATGTTGTAGCATTTGTCAGAATTTCCTTCTTTTTTTAAGGATCAGTAATATCCCTTTCATTGTATATACCACATTTGCTTATCATTTATCTGTTGTGGACACTTGGGTTGCTCCTAGTTTTAGCTCTTGTGGATAATGCTGCTATGAACGTGGATGTACAGATATCTTTTTTGAGACACTGCTTTTAATTCTTTTGGGTATATGTCCAGAAGTAGAATTCTGGTAATTCTAACAGAGCTGCCATGCTGTTTTCTAGCGGCTGTATCATTTTACATTCCCACCAGTGATATACAAGGTTTCCCATTTCTTCACATCCTCACCAACACTTATTTTGTTATTTTGGTTTTTTTGGTAATAGTTGTGAGGTGGTATCTCATTGTAGTTTTGATTTGCATTTCCTTAATGATTAGTGAGTTGTTGAGCATCTTTTCATGTGCTCATGGCCTATTTGCATGTCTTCTTTGGAGAAATGTCTGTTCAAAGCCCTTGCCCGTTTTTAAATTGGGTTATTCTTTTATTGTTGAGTTGTAGGAGTTCTTTATATATATCTGGATAGATATATGATGTGTAAACATTTCCTCCCATTCTGTGGGTTGCCTTTTTACTCAGTTAGTAGAGTCTTGCTACACAAAATTGAAAATTTTTTGTGAAGTTTCCCATTTGTTTATATTTTTCCTTTTGTAGCCTGTGCCTTTGGTGTCATATGCAAGAAATCTTTGCCAAATCCAGTGCTGCAAAGCCTTTGTCCTATGCTTTTTATTGAAGAAGAATTTTATGGTTTAAGTCTTATATTTAGGTTATGAATCTATTTTGAGTTAATTTTTCTATATGGTATTAGGTAAGTGTCCAGCCTTATTCTTCTGCTATGGATATCTAGTTTTCCCAGCATCATTTGTTGAAAACCTGTCCTTTTTCCATTGAATAGTTTTGACATGCTTATCAAAAATCATTTGACCATATATATGAGGGTTTATTTCTGGATTCTGTTCTATTGTTAGTCTATATGTTTGTCTTTACACCAGTACCACACTATTGTGATTACTATAGCTTTGTAGTAAATACAGGGTGTGAACATAGAGGCCACCCTAGGATTTACCGACTATAGGATGGTGAGTGATCCAGAGTCCAGAGTTTAGAAATGAAAGATCAGAATGTTAGTAGGCTGGTAAACAGAGGGTCAGAGCTGCATCAAGGGCTTGGGCGCTCAGGTCAAAGTTATCATCAATTAGAGGTCAAGATCTAGATAAGTGGATTAGAACAGTAGACAAAGGACAACAGGACAAAGAATCATTTTTTATTTTGTTTTGTTTTTAGAGAGAGAACAAGTGCATTAGCAGGGAGGGGCAGAGGGAGAGGGAGAGAGAGAGAATCCCAAGCATGCTCTGCGCTGGCTGTGGAGCCTGATGCAGGGCTTGATCTCACGACCTTGAGATCATGACCTGAGCTGAAATCAAGAGTTGGATGTTCAACTGACTGAGCCACCCAGGTGCCCCGAATGAATGGTTTTTAATGATTAACAAAGATCTTTCAAACCTGTTTCTTATATACTTCCTATTGAGGGGAACAACTAGTTCCAAAACATGTGATGGTGGAGAGTAAGGTAGTTCCCTGACAGTAGTTGTGAATCAAAATGAGATAATTTCTAGTGAGAGAGTTCCTAATAGAACTCTCCTTCGTTGAATTCTCTTGTTACCATTGCTCTAGGGTTAACTTTTCATAGTCTACCACTCACAAATTAAAAGAGAGATCTCAGAGCTTTTGCCACACCCCACGGTTTCTAGCCTTCCACCTTTTTTTTTTTAATATTTTATTTACTTATTTGACAGAGAGAGACACAGCGAGAGAGGGAACGCAAGCAGGGGGCGTGGGAGAGGGAGAAGCAGGCCCCCCACCGAGCAGGGAGCCTGATGCGGGGCTCCATCCCAGGACGCTGGGATCATGACCTGAGCCGAAGGCAGCCGCTTAACTGACTGAGCCACCCAGGCGCCCCTAGCCTTCCACCTTCTGATCTCTTTTCCTGTGCAGTCCTTTCTCCCTTGTCCATTGTCCAATGTACATAATTCAAGTATACAATGAAATTGTACTTAACTGTGAAGGATATTAAGTGACTTTACACAAATCTGTTATCTTACAGTTCTGTAGGTCATAAGTCTACATGAGTCTCACTGGTCTAAAATCAAGGTTGGTAGGGCTGCATTCATTTCTGGATGTTCTAGGAGAGAATTTCTAGAGGTTGTGCACATTCCTTGGCTCATGGTCCCCTTCCTCTATCTTCAAGGCTAGCAATGTTATATCTCTCTATTATTTCTAACTATAGCTGGGAATGTTTCTCTGCTTTTAAGGACCCATCTGGATAACCCAGGTAATCTCCCCATTGCAAGGTTCTTAACTTAATCACACCACTTCCCTTTTACCATGTAAGATGACATATCACTGTGAAGGATTTTGAGAATAGAAATCATACAAATCTTAAGAAATAAGAGTATGGTCTCCTAGATGTAATTCAGCTTGGTACAGTTCTAATTATTAGACCCTTTCAAACATTCTGTTTTTTACTTTTCTTTTTCCTTTTATAGATCCCTATTTCAGCTCCTTCTCTTTAGGGCTTTGATTCTTGTTTGCTACTTTACCTTTGTTTCCAGCCTCGTTTGAGCACTCTGTGAGCCTCTGTTGATTTCTGAAGGAGAGAAAGAACATTTCTTTTGAGATGTATTTTGGTCTTAGGTCTCTCCTTTTTGATATTCCCATCAGAACTGTTGTCCTTATGGGCCCCTGCTTCACCACTTTGATTGGGTTCTTCCCTGACCTTTTCCTTTGGGTGGAAAATGGTTGATTGTTCTGTGTGCTCTATCACTTATTCTGAGGTCCTGTTTTACCCCAGACTTGTTGTTCTTATGCTTTGTTGTGTCTTCTTGTTCTCAGGCTTCTTTGGGTGGACTTTTAACTTAATCCTCAGATTCAGTGTTGCCTCATTCTGTGTTCTTTGTATTTTTTTTTCCTTAAAATTCCTCCTATTTATAGTTCTAACCTCTGCTATTATCAGTCCCTCTGACCTAGTCTGTTTCTCTTTTGTAAGATTTATTTATTTATTCGAGAGAGAGAGAGAGAGAGCACTGCTCCTCACCCTCCCAGCCCCCTCCCCCCCAGTTTGGAGAGGGGCAGAGGGAGAGAGACTCAAGCAGACTCCCCACTGAGTGCAGAACTGGACATGGTGCCTGACGTGGGGCTTGATCCCACGACCCATGAGCTCATGACCTGAGCTGAAACCAAGCGTTAGCGGCCCAACTGACTGAGCCACCCAGGTGTCTCTGACCCAGTCTGGTTTTGTCTCCCCAGTATGGGTCACAACATCTTTTCTTAGGGACTTATAACCATCTACAATTAAGGCCAATTCCCATTTTATGTGGAAAGGCCTTTTGTTGATTCCCTCTGAACTGTAAAATACTTAACACCTCCAGATTTTCATTTAAACCCATCTGCTTCTGGCTCCCTTTCTGGGTATCTCTTAAACTCATAGTGTCTTTTGGGGGCAGAGGTGTTTTTGTTTTGCCTTTTTTTAAATTTAATTTTTAAAAAAGTAATCTCTACACCCAGTGTGGGGCCTGAACTCACAACCCCGAGATCAAAAGTCGCATGCTCCACTGACTGAGCCACCAGATGCCTTTTTTTTTTTTTTTAATGAATTTCGTAGAATAAGTGGCATGGGCTCTGTCATACTCTTGTTCGGAGGAAATTTCCTTTGGTTTTGAGCTCTGCCTTATAGTTTACCAAGGTAAAAATTAAACTGGAGATGTCATAATGTTTTTGTCTCAAGACTTTTTTTTTAAAACTTTATTATGAAGTTTTTCAAATATAGATAAAAGTTGTAAAACAGTGAACACTCATATAACTCTAAGATTCAACAAATGTTACCATTTGCCATATTTGCTTTATCTTACTCCATATATTCATGTTTTTTTATTTTTGTTTTTGACTGAAACCCTGATAGTAAATTGCAGACATCATGATACTTAACATCTAAATACTTAAGCATGCATCTCCTAAGAATAAGAACATTCTCCTAATAGTCACAGTACCATTATCCTAAGAAAATTAATAACAATTTCATATTAGCTAATATTCAGTACAGATTCAAATTCCCCCAGTTGTCCTAAGAGTGTATTTCATAGCTGCTGGTTTTAATAACATAAGCTAATTGAGGTTTATGTATGCCTTTTGATTGTTATGTCACTTTTAATCTGGAACAGTTCCTATCCTTTTTCTTCATGACATTGATTTGTTGAAGCATTCAGGCCAGTTGGGTTATAGAATATTCCATAGTCTAAATTTGTCTTATTGTTTTCTCAAGTATATTTAACTTGTTCCTCTATCCTTTTTTTTGTACTTCCTGTAAACTGTAAGTTAGGTCTAGAGGCTTGATTAGATTCATGTTAAACATTTTTTTTTTTTAAATTTGATTTCATATGGATTTTTTTTTTTAGATTTTATTTATTTATTCATGAGAGACAGAGAGAGAGAGAGAGAGAGAGAGGCAGAGGGAGAAGCAGGCTCCCAAGGAGCAGGGAGCCCGATGCGGGACTCGATCCCAAGACCCTGGGATCATGACCCGAGCCGAAGGCAGACGCCCAACCATCTGAGCCACCCAGGTGCCCTCATGTTAAACATTTTTGGCAAAGATTCATAGGTGATGTTTGTGTACATCGTATTGCATCATATTGCATCACATTGGGAGACACAGATGTCAGATTGTCTCTCAGTGATGCTAATTTTGCTAACTGCCACATCTCTCAATTATAAAGGTACATTTTTCCCTTCGCAATTAGTAACCTGCAGGGTGATTACCTAATGCAATGATTTTAGCATCCATTGATAGTCCTGCTGGAATCTATGATTATATTGGGTATTACAAAACAGTGGTTTTCTAATTCTATTGTTTAATCTTTATTAGCTGACTTTTTTCTTTGGAAGAGAGCTTTCCTTTCCTCGTGTCATTCTCTTTTTTAATGAACATCTTTTTTTTTTTTTAAGATTTTATTTATTTATTTGAGAGAGAGAATGAGAGATACAGAGCACGAGAAGGAAGAGGGTCAGAGGGAGAAGCAGACTCCCCGCTGAGCGGGGAGCCCGATGCGGGACTCGATCCCGGGACTCCAGGATCATGACCTGAGCCGAAGGCAGTCGCTTAACCAACTGAGCCACCCAGGCGCCCTTTTTTTTTTTTTTTAAGATTTTATTTATTTATTTGACAGAGAGAGATAGCGAGAGCAGGAACACAAGCAGGGGGAGTGGGAGAGGGAGAAGCAGGCTTCCCGCGGAGCAGGGAGCTGGATGCGGGGCCCGATCCCAGGACCCTGGGATCATGACCTGAGCCGAAGGCAGACGCTTAACGACTGAGCCACCCAGGCGCCCCTTTTTATGAACATCTTTATAGACAAAGGTTTATAGTTATTCAAAGTGTTAGTCAATTTCAGTTGTTAGTTTTAATTTTCAAATTGTTTCAAATTTGGCCAGTGAGAGCCCTTGCAAGCTTTCCCTGCTGTGTCTTTTTGACAGGACTCCATTAGTCTGAGTGTTTCCTTCCTGGCATAAAATGTCCCCAGCTCACTTTGCATTTGCTCTGCCCTGGGCCTGGAGTCAATTATTTTCTTCAAGGAGCCCTGGTTTCTGTGAGTGACACTAGTTGTGCTCATTGTTTCTGGGGTATCATTGCTTTTAGGCTCTTTGAGGCAAGAAGTAGATTAAAATTCTTTTTAAAAAGAAATCATTAGTTCATATTAGTATTTCCAATTCAGATTTAACATTCCAGAGCTTTTTCTTGACTTCTTTTATTTTATATTTGTATCACTTTTGCACATTGCAAATTCCAGATTTAAATAGCATTTATATGTTATTTGCTTTATCCTTCAATATATAAAATATCAGTATATAAAAAATTAGTTTTGGGGCTAATAGGTGGGTCAGTCAGTTAAGCGTCTGCCTTTGGCTCAGGTCATGATCTTGGTGTCCTGGGGTGGAGCCCCACTTTGGACTCCCTACTCAGTGGGAGTCTGCTTCTCCCTCTCCCTCTGCCCCCCACCCCCCGACTTGTACACTCTTTCTCTCAAATAAATAAAAAATAAAATAAATCTTAAAAAAAATTAGTTTCAAAAATAAGCCTATGTAAACCTGCTAATAGAAGTTTAAAATTTAAGATTTCCTTACAGTTCCTTTTCCCTTGAATATATTTCACTAAGGATGTATAGTCAGAATACAGTTTTCAAAAGTTAGAATAGTTCTTTTTCTGTGTTTATGTTATCAATCATATACACAGATATACTCATTTTTTTTCCTGTTTGTGTTCAGTTTTAGGCTTTGCCTTTTTTCCTTTTGGATTTAATCATATTTTTTGAATCTGTAGAATATTTACATGGTTCAAAAGTCAAAACTACACAAAAAGGTATACTTAGATAAATCTGTTTGTTTTGTGAGTAAAGCGATAGATGTTTATCAAGTGAAGATACAGAAAAAGCTCTCAAGAGTGAGAGGGGTCCCAACAGGTTGCCCTCTTCTTTCATTTTTAATGATAGATAGTCCTGTGTTATATGGATGTGTAAAAATTCATTCAACCAGTCTTCTATTAATAGACATTTAGGTTGTGTTTAATCTTTTGATTAATCTCATCCAAGTATGTTTTTGATTTCTGGAGTTGTTATCATCAGGATAGTTTTCCAAAAGTGAGATTTCTGGGTTACAGGGTAAATGAAAATGTAATTTTCTTAGATGTTGCCGAATTCTCTCCCATAGTGGTTGTATTATTTGATGCTACTGCTAGTATTGTATCAGGGTATATGTCATAGAATTCTGGGCAATACATCAATAAGCTAAATTCTTTCTTGTCTCTTGTTACTCCATAGTAATTCTAAATGGTATTTTCTGTACAGTGATTTTAAAATGTGACTTAGGGACCACTTGTAATTTGTAAGTTTTTTTTTAAGATTTATTTATTTGAGGGACGCCTGGGTGGCTCAGTCGGTTAAGCATCTGCCTTTGGCTCAGGTCATGATCCCAAGGTCCTGGGTTTGAGTCCTGTGTCAGGCTCCTTCTTAAGCGGAGAGCCTGCTTCTCCCTCCGCCTGCCCTGCTCCCCCTGCTTGTGCACATGCTCTCTTTCTGACAAATAAATAAAATCTTAAAAAAAAAAAAAGATTTATTTGTTTGAGAGAGAGCGCGTGTGTGCGTGTGGAGGGGCAGAGGGAGAGAAACTCAAGCAGACTCTCCAGTGAACTCGGAGCCCCACATGGGGCTCAATCCCAGGACTTTGAGATTGTGACCTGAGCCGAAATCAAGAGCTGGCTGCTTAATTAAGCCACCCAGCTGCCCCCTTTGGGGTAGTTCTTGTTAAAGATAAACATTACTACAAATGTCTATACTTTTGTTTCTGGCTCATTTGAGTATATACATGCCACATTTGATTTTTAAAACTACAGTATTGTCTTTTTAAAAACAGTTTTCCTGTCAGATTTGTTGAGATATCATTTTGGTGGCCAGAGATAGGAAGCTATGGAATAGGGCATTTTAAGGATCTTTTAATTTTCTGAAATAATCTGCCAGTCAGATTATTTCAAGAATCACTATTCTTGTGGTCTGAAAGAATTTTAGATACTGCTAACTACTTGTTCTTGGTTTTCTTTTTATATCCTGCTTAGGCTCCTGTTTATATTCGGGAATGTGCCAGATTGCACTATTTGGGCTCCAGAACTCAAGCATCAAAGGTAAGAACAGGAAATTGCTCTTAGTCCAAACAAGGAGAGAGTTAATTAAGATTAGTGGAGTTTTAAAACAAAGTGTGAAATCAGAGTAAAGCCATGGAAAATAAAATGTTGCTACTGTTATAGTTCAAAGTTTTCTAGTCAGTTTGAGATAAGGAAAAAGACTGAGAGGAAAGTTATATGTTGAAATAAAAGTGCCCCCACATAGTGTCGTCTTGTTCCCTTTCAGAGGTCCTCCACTGGTGGATGGTATCCCCTACATATGAGTGATGGCATAGACTGCATGTTTAAAGGTTTTCACAAAGCCCTGTGCATTCTTGTAGCATATGATATAAACAGACTGTAAATAGCAAATGTATTAAATATTTTACAGCAATAAATCATGGTTTTCGATAATACATTCTTGTTTCAGGTTCAGTGGTAACACTCTGTCAGACGTCTCAAAGACTTGAGACCACCTGAGCTTAGAAAGCAAATGTGTGATGCTTATTAATAAGATTATGTATAATTACTGAGCTTTAAAACTGAGAAGTTTAAAAAAACTCCCCAAGTACTCTTTTTTTTTTTTTAAGATTTTATTTATTTGTTTGACAGAGAGAGAACACAAGCAGGGGGAGTGGGAGAGGGAGAAGCAGGCTTCCTGCGGAGCAGGGAGCCCGATGTGGGGCTCGATCCCAGGACCCTGGGATCAGGGCCTGAGCCGAAAGCAGACGCTTAATGACTGAGCCACCCAGGCGCCCCTACACAAGTACTTTTTGATGATCTATATTTAGTCTGTCTTGGTTAGGAACTTACGCTGTCATCTTATGCTGTTGTTTCTGCTCCTCTTTGTTTCTACCTCTCATTCGGTAAATATTTGGTGTGACCAGGAAAACAGTATTTGATTTCAACTAATTTAACTGGAGTGTAGCTTTTCTTAGAGAGGTGTTTCTGTTCCTCAACCACTGCTGTGTAGTTGTCCCATCATATTGTTGTGTGTAGCAAAGAGCACCAACCAAGAGCCTGTGCACTTGGATGGGTCTGTCACTTTAGTATCTAAATGACTTTAAACTTAGAGCTTAACTTTAATTTTTTCTTCTATCAAATGGGAATGATGATACTTTGCCTGCTTACCTCATAGGAAAGCAGTGAGAGTTATGTGCAATTAAATGGCTTTGAAAATTGAACTCATATAAATATAATTTTGGGGGGCGCCTGGGTGGCTCAGTCGTTAAGCGTCTGCCTTCGGCTCAGGTCATGATCCCAGGGTCCTGGGATCGAGCCCTGCATCGGGCTCCCTGCTCTGCAGAAGCCTGCTTCTCCCTCTTCCACTCCCCCTGCTTATGTTCCCTCTCTCGCTGTGTCTCTCTCTGTCAAATAAATAAAATCGTAAAAAAATATATATATAATTTTTGGTAGCAATATTCTAAATGAATTTAGGTTCTCTAGGGAGGTCTTGGGAGTGGGCTATTAATAGAGTCTATAATTACAGGTTTTTCTTCATGTGATAATTTTATTTAGATTTTTCTTATTCCTAAATATAAGAGTATACCACGCTCTCCCCTTCTTCCTCCTTTTTTGTTTCAGGGGTTGTGGGAACCTGAAAACAAAGCTGGCAGGATATATTAATTCTCTTTTCTTTAAAATTTTCTCTAGGATGATCTTGATTTGATAGCTTCATGTCCTACTAAGTCCTTCCAACGGGCAAAATCTCAGAAACGGAACTGGGTAGATTCCTGCTCTCACCAGGAGGAGACCCAGCAGCGTACGGAAGAGGCATTGAGAGAGTTGTTCCAACATGTTCACAATATGCCAGAGTCAGCGAAGAAGAAACAACTTATTAGACAGGTACCTGAAGGCACGGAAACAGTGACGGGGCTTTAGGACTGTGATCAAGGTTGTGGAATCAGTAGGGAATATTGCTAAGAATCTCATTTAATTTTTGGCTCTTATTGGCCCAAGCGTGGCTTGGCTAGGAAAGCAGACTTGTCAATGGAACCTCAATGTCAGCCTCTGTACTACTGCCCCATTACAGAAAAGAGTGGAGGCTCTTGGATTTCTAGAGTTAAACAGAAGGATCCAAGTATGGTTAGAGTTTTTCTAATTTTGGTCACGTACCAGGCATGCTGAGAAGAGAACCAGCAGTTGCAATATATTGCTCCAAAGTTTAAATCCTTCAGATTTTCTTGGCAAATAATTTAATCTTTCTGAATTTCAATTTCCTTGTTTTTTAAATGGTAATTGAAATGTCCATGTTTCATGACTATATAAAGATTAGAAAGAATCTGTGTAAAGTGGCTGGCATAGCAGAGCAAAAGTGGTAGCTCTTACTAATGAGTTGTTTACAGTTAGAAAACACTGTAAATTCAGGGACCTAGTTTGATATTAGAAAGTAGGAATTCTGGTAGCTAAGTTTGTTTATTTTGGAGTTAGCGGGAGCAAAATTAGGTCTCTCATTTGCCATTTTGAGACTCAAAATGTAGTTTGAGTAAATCCCAATGATTTCGTTAGTTTCTTTCTTGGGAAATTTATTTTTTCTCTATCCCTCTTGAATTTTAGCTGAACAGGCAAAGTCAGCCTCTTGACTTCTTACTCAACTGGGACCTTCTTGAGGGAAGTCTGTGTTTTTATTTATTTTTTATGCCTAATCTGAAACATAGAGCCAGACATAACCATGTGCTCAGAAAATGTTGAACTGAGCTGTTCTTAACAATTGATAGAGTCCTTCAAGAGAAGTTTTCTGTTATACTCTTTGAAGTTACTTTGAGATCTAGCAAATTGTGTTATGACTGGAATTTTCAAGGATGTTGGCTGAGTATTATCGCAGATACAAAGCGGTGTAGTGATTTAATTCTCCATGGAAACTAAGACAGCAGTTCAGGTGGGCAAAGTGTCATGAATTCTTTCATCAAGAGAGCAGAAGCTTGGGGCGCCTAGGTGGCTCAGTTGTTAAGCATCTGCCTTTGGCTCAGGTCATGATCCCAGGGTTCTGGGATCGAGCCCCGCATTGGGCTCCCTGGGCTCCGGAAAGCCTGCTTCTCCCTCTCCCACTCCCCCTGCTTGTGTTTCTTCTCTCGCTGTGTCTCTCTCTGTCAAATAAATAAATAAAATCTTAAAAAAAAAGAAAGAAAGCAGAAGCTTAAAGATAATACAAAGGAAAAACTGACATTTTTGCTCTTTCTAGAAAAATAGGAACTCATAGAGAAGGTTAAGAAGAAAACAAGTCATTCATCCCACCAGGGTTAACATTTTGGATATTTCTTTCAGTCTTTTTCCTATCGATAAATTTCTATATAGTTTGGATCATACCGCATACTTTCTTTGATCTCTCTCTTTTCACTAAACATTACAGCATAAGCATTTTCTTGTGCGTGCTTGTGAACTCCTTGCCTACATTTAAAATATTGCCACTTTGTTTTGACGAAACTATAATTTTACTAGTTCCTGATTTTCCTCTGTTATTATAAAAATAGTAAATATTCACTGTAGAAGCAGTGGAACCTGCAGAAGAGTGTAAAGAAGAAAATCACCTGTAATCATCCTGAGATAACCACTGATAAAAGTTTTGGAGTATTTTCTTCTATGATTATTTTCTTTCCATGAACATGTATTTGACTTTTTTGTTCTTTTGTTTGAGATCATAATATATATTCAGTTTTTAAAATTCCTGTCCTTTTCATTTAACATTATATCATGATTATTTTCCATGTCATTAAAAGGCTGTGCACATTTTACAGCTGCATAATATTTCATTACATATAATTTAATGTATATACAGTTTGCTTACTCTTGGACGTATTTGGGAATTAGATTATTTTTTAGCTTATAAATTTTTGTTCATTGGTATTTTCATTGCAGAGTTTTCCCTAGAAGTGGCATGACCAACGGGTATGCATTTTTTTCTTCTGGTAACAGCTATTGGGTCCCTTTTAATATATAGGTCCCCCTTTCTCTCCTCTCTTCTTGTTTTCCCCCTAAAAAATTGCTGAAGTTTGTTTGAATAAACTTAAATTTGACATAATTTAGATTTAGAGAAAAATTGCAAAGATAGTACAGAGAATTCTCATATACCCTCCACTGAGGGTACCCTTCACTCCTAATGTTAACATTGTTAAAACTAAGAAATTAACATTGGTGTATTACTATTAACATGAGAGTTTATTCAGATTTTAGCAGTTTTTTTGCTAATACCCTTTTTCTGTGCCAGAACCTAATCCAGGCTACTACACTGCATTTAAACACACACATACACACATTCTCTCTCCGTCCCTCTCTCTGCCCTTTGTTTGTGAAAGAAACCATATAGTTTGTTTTCCACAGTCTAGATTTTGCTGATTGCACCCTTGTGGTGTTATTGAACATGTTCCTCAGTCCTCTGTATTTATGATAAGTTTGTAGTTAGATCTAATTCTAGAAGCTTGATCTGAATACTGATTAGTTTTATTTAGTTAGTTTTTGGGTAAGAACTTCATAGGTAGTGTGTATTTTTTAATACAGTAGTTCCTGCCCCTTAGCTATGGGGGATGCATTCCAAGACCCCCCAGTGGATGCCTGCAAACCACAGATAGTACTGAACCGTATATATACTGTGGGTTTTTTAAAATATATATATACTTACAATAAAGTTTAGGTTATAAATTAGGCACAGTGAGAGATTAACAATAATTAATAAATAGAAAAAGTATAGCAGTATAGTGTAATAAAAGTTATGTGAATGTGTTATCTTTCAAATCCTTACTACACTATACTCATCCTTCCTGTGATGATGTGAGATGGTAAAATACTTATGTGATTAGCTGAAGTGGAGGAGCTGAATGACCTAGGTTGTGACACAGCATAGGCTACTACTGACCTTCTGACAATACATCAGAAGGAGGATCATCTGCTTCTGGACTGCGGTTTGATTATGGGTAACACCTTGGAAAGCAAAACTACGAATAAAGGGGAACTACTGTATGCATTTTGAAAAGACTCTGGACACACATTGCTAAATAGCTTCCCAGAAAATTATTAATGCTCCCACCAGCTGGATACAAGAGAACCACCCCTTCTTGCACCTGCCAACATTATCAGAAATGATGGTTTGTCACTTGTTCCAATATAGCCAGGAGGGATGCTTACTTTCTAAGCTCTTTAGAAGTGACTAAATTTTCTGATAATTAACTTTGGGAACTTTTTGTACCTGTATAATATGTATGAAAAGTGTCATTTTTTTTTAAACCTCCAGAACTGAACCTGAACTGATAAAAATTTGCAAAATTACAATTCACATATTTAAAAACTGTAGTTAGAAAAGGCAGACAAGTAGAAGAATTAAGTACTATATCATTATTTTTTAACTGGGGAGATGCATGGCTAATCAAAGCATTAAATAAGACGATACAGTGTTTTATGTCTTCCATTTCAATTGACCACTTTTTATTTTGATGTATTTCCTCTGATAATAGTGCTGGCAAGCAATCATGATAGATGTCCATTTAAAGAGCTTTAGTAACTTCTTTTTTCTGTATGCAATTTATGTTAAATTAAGGACTGTTTTAGGTTGTGTTAGTCACTCTCTATGTCCAAGATACTTTCTGCAAAAAAATCTGGATTACCAGCTGGAGATGTTGGGCAAATTACATAATTCTCTGGGTCTCAGTTTCCTTATCTGTAAAATAGGGGTAATACTTCCAACCTTATAGTACATAAGAAAAAGGAAAATGAGGTGCAGTCTCCTTAGAGTAATTTAATAAATTTTGACCTTTTTTTTGGCAACAATCATTTCTGCCTTTGAGATTTGCTTGCCAACCTACTAAGCCATATGTGTACAGACTCACTTATTCTTTGGACTTTTCTGGATATTTACATTTAGCTTTTGATGCTCACAGAATCCTATCTCTTGATGGGGGAAATAATAGTAAAATGTTTATGTTTCCTCTTAGTTTAATAAGCAAACTGTGACCCAAACGCCAGGGCGAGAATCTTCTCCTCGGGTACAGAAAAGAGCCCGTTCACGTTCCTTCAGTGGCCTTATTAAGGTAGGTATGCTGTGCTGTCGTTTTCAGCATTGACTTAGAGAAAGCTTAACGGTCTGACTTTTCTTATGCGTGAACAGTTTTCTTCTATTCTTTGGGATCCTGTAAAGGGTTCATCTGCAAGAGGATAAGGATAGAATTCGGAAAAACTTGTAGTTTTTACAGCATTTTGCTGTGTTTCGACTTGGAGAAGGGGCTGTACGATTAGAGAGTAAAAGAACGGTCCTTCCTTCTCTTTGGGACTGAGGACAGAGTCCCCATTCCTGAGCAGTGAGGAGAGTGCTTTGCTTTGTGCTACAAGGTTCACTGCACGATGTGCAAAAGCTATGGAGAAGTGAGGGAGTTGACAGACTCCCAGAAACGGTTAGGAAATGGATTTTCTGTTAGGCTAGCAAGTTAACTCAAATTTTTGTACGCTTAATATTTTAATCACTTGTATATTCTCTTCCTTTGTAACAAATTACTTAAAAATCTTGTTTTTAAAACAAGTGCAGTATCTACTTCTGTGCTGTGGCTGCCATCACTGTGCTTGTGGATTCAATTTACACGTCCTCATGGACGATCTGAACTTGTAGTTAAGGCATATTGCCATCAGGTGGCAGTAGATAATGTGATAATGGGGTTCAAATTTTCAGGCATAAACTAAGGCAAGGTTCTGGTTAACTTGGAGAAAGATTAAGCACAGTTCTGTGTTCTGGTTTTCTTTTTAAAATTGTTTTTAACATTATTAAAATCTATAAATCCAGCAACAGTAAGGAGCTCTGATTAAAATGAAAAATAAAAATAAATACCTTGTAATATATATTTTTTTCTTTAAGCTGCAGTTGTTAGTCATTGCTGCATCATCTAAGCCTCATTTTGGTCTTAGCTATTATCATTTATAGAAGTTTAGAATTCACTCTCAATCCTGATCTTTGGGGGGCAATAGCCTCTGAGACATTAATCTTGCTTACCATCAAAATTTCCTTTGTGATCAACAGAATGAAAAGACAACTCACAGAATGGAACAAAATATTTGTAAAACATATGTCTGAGAGGGAGTTAATGTCTAGAATATATAATGAACTCTTACAAAAACAGGAAAAAACATTTAAAAATGGGCAAAGGACTTAGACATTTCTCCAAAGAAGATACACAAAGATACTCAATATCACTTATCTTTAGGAAAATGCAAATCAAAACCACAGTGAGATAGCAAGGCACAGTAGGGTGACTATTATTAAAAAAGCCAGAGAATAACAAGTGTTGGTGGGGATGTGGAGACATTGAAACCCTCGTGCACTGTTGGTGGGGATGTAAAATGGTGCACCTGTCATGGATAACAGGATGGCAGTTCCTCAAAAAATTAAATATTCAGCAATTCTACTTCTGGGTATGTACCCAAAAGAATTGAAAGCAAGGACATGAATAGATAGTTGCACACCCATGTTTGTAGTAGCATTATTCACAGTAGCCAAAAGGTGGAAGCTACTCAAGTATCTATTGACAGATGAATGGATAAACAAAATGTTGTATATACATGCAGTGGAATATTATTCAGCCTTAAAAAGAAAGGAAATTCTTTTTTTTTTTTTTTTAGATTTTATTTATTCATTTGAGACACAGAGATAACACAGAGAGAGCACATGTAGGGGGAGAGGCAGAGGGAGAGGGAGAAGCAGGCTCCTGCAGAGCAGGGAGCCTGACGTGGGGCTCGATCCCAGGACCCTAGGATCATGACCTGAGCCGAAGGCAGACGCTTAATGAGTGAGCCACCCAGGCGCCCCCAGAGGAAATCCTAACATACGTTACAACATCGATGAGCCTTGAGGACGTTACGTTAAATGAAATAAACCAGTCACAAAGTACAAGTACTATATAATTCCACTTATGTGAGATACCTAGAATAGTCAAATTCATAGAGAAAGAAAGTAGAATGGTGGTTGTCAGGGGCTAAGGGTTTGGGGGGAGTTGGGAATTATTGTCTAGTGGATACCCAGGTTCTATTTGGGGAGATGAAAAAGTTGTGGAGTTGGATGGTGGTGATGGTTGCACAACACTATGAATGGAATGAACTAAGATGGTAAATTTTGTGTTATGTATATTTTACTATAATTAAAAAGTAATTTATTTTGCTAGAACCCTACCCTAGCAGTATATTTACCTGCTAGGTGTAGTTCATAAAATGAACATCATTGTCGGTTCATTTTACTTGGAGGTCTGTCATTCCCTCTGACTTCCTGTCATTGAGCTGATTGATAACAAGAAAAGTTAATAGTCAGATAAAGGTTTCTCTATGTGTTAAACAAATATTTCTTTAACTGAAGCTAGATGGGTGTAGTTTTCTCTTCCTAGTGAAAGAAAGTTCTGCAGTGGCTCTAGATGTATTGCTAAGTGTGGCTTGAAATGTAAATATGGAGTATCCTCTTGGCGGCTGCCCATTTCTTTACTAAGAGAATTTAGGACTTTAGAATTATAAACGAGCTTATAATTCTATCAGAATTTTAGACATTTTAGAACAATTATTTTATTTTATTTTTTTAAAGACTTTATTTATCTATTTGACAGATAGATAGAGAGCACAAGTAGGCAGAGTGGCAGGCAGAGGGAGAGGGAGAAGCAGGCTCTCCGCTGAGCAGGGAGCCAGACGTGGGACTTGATCCCAGGAGCCCAGGATCATGACCCGAGCTGAAGACAGCCGCTTACCGGACTGAGCCACCCAGGCGCCCCAGAACAATAATTTTAAATACAAATGTTAACAGGGCGCCTGGGTGGCTCAGTCGTTAAGCATCTGCCTTCGGCTCAGGTCATGATCCCAGGGTCCTGGGATCGAGCCCCGCATCGGGCTCCCTGCTTGGCAGGAAGCCTGCTTCTCCCTCTCCCGCTCCCCCTGCTTGTGTTCCCTCTCTCGCTGTGTCTCTCTCTGTCAAATAAATAAATAAAATCTTTAAAAAAAAAAAATACAAATGTTAACAAATTTTATGAAACAGGATAAATTATCTTTGTTATAAATGAAGAGACGAGCTAATAATAGATAGTGGATTCTGCTCAATAGTGATGGGGTAATGAAATGTCTTTTTTTTTTTTTTAAGGGGATGCTCCACTTATTTTATTTTATTTTTTTAAGATTTTATTTATTTGAGAGAAAGAGAATGAGAGAGAGCACATGAGAGGGGTTAGGGTCAGAGGGAGAAGCAGACTCCCTGCTGAGCAGGGAGCCCGATGCGGGACTCAATTCAGGGACTCCAGGATCATGACCTGAGCTGAAGGCAATCGCTCAACCAACTGAGCCACCCAGGCGCCCTTATTTTATTTATTTATTTATTTACTTAAAGATTTTATTTATTAAAAAAAAGATTTTATTTATTTGACAGAAAGACATAGTGAGAGCAGGAACACAAACAGGGGGAGTGGGAGAGGGAGAAGCAGGCTTCCCGCGGAGCAGGGAACCCGATGCGGGGCTCGATCCCAGGACCCTGGGATCATAACCTGAGCCAAAGGCAGACGCTTAACGACTGAGCCACCCAGGAGCCCCCCCCCCCCATTTTTTTTAAAGATTTTATTTATTTCAGAGAGAGCGTGAGAGTGCAGGTGTGAGCAGGGGGAGGGGTAGAGGGAGAGAGACTCAATCTCACCACCCTGAGATCATGACCTGCGCTGAAACCAAGAGTCAGATGCTTAACCAACTGAGCCACCCAGGCGCCCCTGAAATGTCTTTTTAAAAGTTCATTGGAGGGGCGCTTGGGTGGCTCAGTTGGTTAGGTGGCTGCCTTTGGCTCAGGTCATAGTCTCAGGGTCGAGCCCCACGTGGGGTTCCTTGCTGAGCAGGGAACTCCCTCCCTCTCCTCCTCGCCTCTCCCTCCTCCCTGCATGTGCTCTCTCTCGCTCGCTATCTCTTTCTCTCTCTCAAATAAATAAATAAAATCTAAAAAAAAAAAAAGTTCATTGGAAGCTTTATAGCCGGTCCTGTGGCTTTTGGCATCCCCGTTTCAGCTTACTCTGAGGTGATAGCTGATTTCTGAAAGGAAGATGTAGTGGTCTCATTTTTCCAGCATTTCTGTGTTTTAGCTATTTAATCTATATTCTGCTTTGATCCCCTTTTTGGGCTAGACTTTTTCCTCTAGAATTTCTCTTATGTAAATAATTGATTACATTGGGATATTCCTTATATTGCTGCTAAGATTTATATTGTAGAGTTTAATGTTCTAGTTTTGTTAAGTTCTTTTTTGAGGATTTAAACTTATTCTCTAAGAAGAAAAAAGGGACGGTTTCCCCAAAGATGGTAGAATTGTCACTGTCAACTGTTACAGTAGGTTATGTCAGTTTCTAAGCTGTTCAGAGATGAAAGGCTTTTAGTCCTGCTCTGAATGACAGTATGGTCATGTGACCGCCTTAAGAAGGCCTGAACACTCTTGTGGCTGTATTAGAAACTCTTAAAGACTTTCTCCAAGTTTTCTAATCCTGTGCGAGGACGTGATAGGGAAGCAGTCTTAGAGTGGACGCAGCAGAAGTGTCCCTGAGTAGGGAGGGGGCTCTCAACAGCTGCCAGAGACAACACTTCTCGGGGGCAAAAATTATACTGGTAAATAACTGGTGGGGGTTGTTTGTTAATGGTCTCAGAAGCACACTGTAATTCGCCTGCATTAGCTCATTTAAATCAACTATAAAACTGTTTCTTATATTTCAGCTATTTTAAATGTAGAGGAAAAATGATCACCTAAAGAAAGGCAATGATTTCGGGGTTTTTTGTAACATGCTTTGGCCTCCCTTGTATAAGATGGCCTGGGAGAATTTATCAGAAATCTGAAATTCTTTTAAACTAAGAAACTGTAGATTTAAAGACCAGTATAGCTGTAATACAGATATAGTAGATCTTTATAAATCACGTATTTTCTCTTCCTAAATCAGCGGAAGGTCCTGGGAAATCAGATGATGTCAGAAAAGAAAAACAAGTACCCTACCCCGGAATCTGTAGCCATTGGTGAATTGAAGAGAGCCAGCAAAGAAAATATGAACTTAGTAAGATACTGTTCTTTGGACTTCCTCTTTGTGTATATTTGTAGGAAGGAGAAATATTGATAGACTGTCACCTGTTTTACTGTGTTTCTCTGGGCCATTCAACTGTGCCTTTTTCTCAATCCTTTCATTTATGTTGATGGTCAAAACAAACACATGTGGAGTTCCAGGAGGATATAGACAGTCATATGCGGAGATGACAAATAACAGTGAAAGAGCTCCGCAAACAAAGTGCTGGAGGGACTAGTTCTTACTGGGAGACTCTACGGGGCAGGTAGCATTTGAGCTGGGCCTACTCGGCACTGCATTATCTGTTGGGTAGTCCTTCTGGGTATCCCACACATGCTGCTTCATTAAGCCAGCAATAAAATCAGTTAAGACTAATGATATAAATATCATTATATCATAATGATATAAAAATAATCAGCCTCAGTAAAACTCTTCACATGGAAACTGAACAAGCAAATAATTCTTCTGTTAGTAAAGTCTGTCTGTAGGAATGACATTAGAGCGTTTAAGCCACTATAAAATGTTTTCGTTACAGTTATTTTCTGGCTCTCCAGCTGTCACGATGACACCAACAAGATTGAAATGGTCTGAGGGGAAGAAAGAGGGGAAAAAAGGTACTCATTGTACTTATTCTGTGTTCTGACTGCACGTAAGTCCCCTCTGCATCTAGTCCCTCAGTAGTGGTTTGAATTCCCGGTGTTGGAAGCAGCATACAATTGCCAGGCTGGGTCTTTGCCCTTGCCTTTGTTCAGCAGATGGGTATTGAGCATCTACTCAGCGCTGTCCCAGGTGCTGACAGGCAGAGCTGTGAAGACGGACCCACATGATCCCTGCATTCTTGGACAGATTGGTCACATGTGAAAAAAATCTTAAGAATACTTGTTAAGCAAATTAAAAGCAAGTGTAAACTAATTTGTGAAACCAAGTACAGAAGTGCTAAGAATATGTTCAATAAACATGGAATAGTTATGTTCTTTTTCTGTGTAGACTTTGGCCTTGTTTATTCAGTGAGGCTTTCCAGCTAATAAACGGCCGACGGACCCTGGAAATCATATCATACAACATATTTTTGAGGCTACTTAGGGCAAAAAAGATTATTTGGTGCGGGGACTGCTGGTTGCCCAAGGCTCCTGGTAAAAGGCAGCTGCTGCTGTCCTTTCCTTTGAAGAAGCCGTGTGGTCCCCAGGGAGGACCAGGGGATTTGATGTACCTGATTTGAGTCATCATTCCTCTGGCCCAGGAAAACCATTCATTCTCTCTCTTTTTTTTTTTTTTTTTTAAGATTTTATTTATTTATTTGACAGAGAGAGAGAGAGAGAGAGCAGCAGGCAGAGGGAGAGGGAGAAGCAGGCTCCCCACTGAGCAGGGAGCCCGACGTGGGGCTCAATACCTGACCCTGGGATCATGACCTGAGCCAGAGGCAGTTGCTTAACTGACTGAGCCACCCATGTGCCCCAGAGCCATTCATTCTCTCTGAGCCTGTCTCCTCCTCTGAAAATAGGATAATAGTTCTATCGAGTTCACAGATATCTTATGAGGCTTAATTGAAATAATGTTTTAGAAGCATTAACAAGTAGCCATCATTGTGACTAGAGAGAACTGGCTGAGACTTGTTTTGTTTTGTAAGGCTTGTGAGACAGATGAAGTGATCCCTGGTTTGACATGTGCATTTTACTGCTGAGACATGAGCGTAATTACAATTTGAGACATCAGCAATAGAAAGAGAACCGAAGTCCAGTCCTTATGGATAAATCTTTTTTCTTTTCTAGAAGATTAGATTTCAGTATAGTCTCATTCCTTATCCTTTAATGAATTATCTGAACGCTCTTTTCTTTCCATCTTGCTTCTGACTTGCAGGCAGGGCTGTCTGATTGAGGGGAGTTGGGTGTTTGAGTTATATGTGTCTAAATATTTCTACGTGTTTGAGTTATATGTGTCTAAATATTTCTATGTATGTATCTGTGAATTGTATATATCTGTGAATCAAAACTACACATAAGTTATTTTTGAAGGATATCTTGTTTTTTTTTTATCAGTTATACCTTTTGTGGCTCTCATTTTTGAAAATAATGAAAAGGGGCACCTGGGTGGCTCAGTCAGTTAAGCATCTGCCTTTGGTTCAGGTCATGATCCCAGGGTCCTGAGATCGAGGCCTGCGTTGGTCTCTGCTTGGCGGGGAGTCTGCTTCTCCCTCTCCCTCTGTGACTCTCTCACTCTTGCTCTCTCTCTCAAATAAAATCTTTAAAATAAAAAAGAAAAGAATCAAGAAATGGTAAGTCTTTTTATATTGACAGTTACACTTTCAGGAAAGAGAATTGCATTAAAGAAATAAGCCAAGTTCATATTTTAGCAAGAAGATGTAGAGCAGGGATTCTTGAGCTGTTATGTGTGGACCTCCTAAGGGCTCTGATCAAGTTCCTGGTATTGTTGATGTCATTTTATGTGTAGGTGCCTATGTACATTTTTCTGGGGGACAGAACATATAGTTTTATTAGATTCTCAAAAATGTTAGTGAATCAGGTGTGCCCAGCTGTCTCTCGGTCAACAGAGCACGTGACTCTGGATCTCAGGGTCATGAGTTCAAGCCCCACGTTGGGCATGGAGCCTACTTAAAAATTAAAAAAAAAAAAAAGTGCAGAAAAATGGGGGCCCACACATAATGAACACTTTGGATTGGATTAGACAGTGGCGTTTTCATTCTTCTCTCTCCGTGGTCACTTCCCGCGTCCTGAAAGGCCTGCCTTGGCTGTCACGATGCTTCCTATTCTTGTTCTTCCTTGTGCCTTCTTTTCCATCTCTGTGGTAGCTTAACATTGCTGGCCTACCCCTCCCCTTTTCATTTTTTTTTAAGATTTTACTTACTTGAGAGAGAGAATGAGTGCACGAGTGGAGTTGAGGAGGAGCCGAAGGGGAGGGACAAGAAGACTCCGTGCTGAGTGCGGAGCCCAGTGCAGGCCTCACTCTCGCCACAAGATCACAATGTGACTGGAACCAAGAGTTGGACGCTCCTCTGACTAAGCCACCCTGGTGCCCCTCCTCTTTGTGTTTTTAAGTGCTCTATCTTGAGTTCTCTGCTTATCTCTGCTCTTGCTTTTTACCTCTTAGCAGCTTGGGCTAACCCACAGCTCTATTTTCTCTGTAGGATAACTGCTCCCAGACCTGCATCTCCAGATCTGAACTCTCTTCCAGTTTCCAAGGCCGCAGATCCACTTACCTGCCGTCTAATTCTTCTATACAATGAATATTAACTAGAGTTTTTTGATGGTGATTTTGTAAAAGGAATATTATTTGAGGGAAATAATGCAATTTTATTATCATCATCAAGAGCACACTCCAGAAAGACATTTCTTTAGCACAGGGTTTCTCAACTTGGCACTGGACATTTTGGGTCAGATAATTCTTTGTCGTGGGGTGCTGCCTTGTACATTGTACCATGGTTAGCAGTTTCCCCTGGTCTCTACCCAATTAGATGCCAGTAGTACCCTTCTTCCCCCAGTTTTGACAGCCAAAATGCCTCCAAACATCGCCAAGTGTCCCCTGGGGAGGAGGGAGCAAATTCACCCCCTGAGGAGAACTGCCGATTTAGCATCTTCTTATTAATGGGCATTATTTTGAGTAGTGAGAATCTTACCCATTCTTCAAAGCCCAACCTAAACCGCACTTCCTCTTTGAAACCTTCTTTGGCTAAGCCAGCCAGATGTACGTTTTCCTTTGGAATCTTATTGACGGTACTAAAACGTTGACATTTAGTATGATTTATCGTAGTTATTTACTTCACATATATTGTCTGATACCTGTGGCTAGTTTCTCTTCTGGAAGACAAGGGCCACACCTAAGAATACATTTGTGACCGTCTGTCTTCTGTTCCCTTCCTCCCGGTACCGAGTACCTTACCTCTACTTCTACCACTGCCTCTGAGAGTGCCTTACCTCCAGTAGGCATTTAGTAAGCATTTGCTGGTGAGAGGCATAGTGGTGGTGAGGCCATGAGCTCTGCTTTCAGTTAGGCTTGGGTTCAACTCCCAGCTTTGCTGCTTATATCTGTTTATCTTGGGGAAAGTTAACTTGTGTAGGCTTCCGATTCTTCCCCTGTAACATGGCAAGAGCACTATCTCATGCACAGATTGTTGTGAAGATAAGTGAGGTCATGTACATAAGGAACCCAGAGCAGAGTCTGGCGCAAAATATGCACTTAGCACGGCGGTAGCTGTTACTGCCATTAAGTTGTTAATGAACTGAGATTAGGGCACATGGACAAGGTGGTGTTTACTTGGTAGAAAGTCATAAATACTCCGTTAAGCTCTTTTAACTCTCAGTTTGTAGAAAATATTAAGTATAGCTTCTCTAGCTTTCAGGTGGGATGTTTGCAAAAATAAATATTTATAAATGTGCTTAATGTTCTTGTTTTCCTTTCAACCTAGGATTCCTCTGAAGGATCCAGAGTGCTCCTGTTGTCCACCTGGAACTTTCTCTTTAGTGAGCCAGGCATCATTATTGCTCACGGAGAAGCTTGGACTTGCAGCCTGCTGCGTTTTGTATTGTGAAAGTCAACTAATCCTATGACCTGACTGATACCTCTAACCCCCCCCCCCCTCCCTGGATAATTTCTGCAGACTCTGCTGAATGGGTGCTGGCATCTCTCTCTTTCTCTGTCTCTGAAAACATTATGGGGAAACCACTAACCAGCCAGCCAGCTCACACAGCACAGTAAATGGGCAGAACCAGGTGGGCTCTAGTGCTCATTCCATGTATTTGTTTAAGCAGATATTATTTTTAAAAATATGAAAGTTGTGCTCAACTACCAGTGATTTTTTTTTTTTTTTTTTTAAGTACTGTCAGCCCTGGTGGATTGATACTATTTTTAACTGATACTTGGGGCTTTTCTCTGTTTTGATAGTATGGGTGGTATTTTGGTTATTTCTTGTTTGTCTGTTGTTTGTTTTTTTAAAGCCATTTTTTGGATAGGTCATCTAAATTGTGTTTAAGACAGATGTCTTTCCCTTTTTTTTTCACCTTAGGCTTTGGGAAAGCTCTTTATCTCATGAGGCCATATTCCTCAATACCATTTGTGTGCAAAGAACTACAGCTTTCCTGGAAATACAAAAATTATTTTTTGGACCTGAGATTGCAGGGTATTTGACCTGCGTTATTGAAAGAGGAGAATTCAGAATGATAGCATATTTTCACAAATGTCAGTTATTAAACTTTGTCCCTCCTCCCTCCCTTCCCTCTCTTCCCCTTTCCTCAGTGATGCCAAAGTAATTGTGTGGTTGCTGAACTCATCTTCATTCAGTCTCCCTTTGCCTAAAACATCTCTGGTGCCAGTACTTCTGTGCCAAATCACTGTGACCCAAGGGAAGTCACCGGCGGCTCGATAGAGATTAGCTGAAATATCTGAATGTACTGGAAACTCTGGAGTGTGACTAGGATGGGGCCAGCTGGCTTTATGTCCAGGGTTACTCCTCGTGGGTGGGGTTATATTGCATCCTTCTAAGGGATCAGGTGTGCAGGCTAGACTGTCTGCTGGGAGCAAGCTGGAGTCCTAGGGAGGAAGGGAGCATCCCTCTCTGCAGGGCTGAGAGGATTTGAGAGAGCACATTCTCCTTTGGAAGCGGTTGTGGCTTAGCACCAGTGTTTGAGGAGAGTTGCCGCACCTCCCCTCTCCTTGTCAGGGTGGGCACAGGAGCCGTTTGGAGGTGGGGCTGGGGCTTTGACTGGGTTGGGGATGTTCACGTGTGTTTGAGGTAAGCAGCGGCGTGGCGTTGATCTGGTGTAAACACTCACTGCCTAGAGAGCACCGTGTGGTGGGTGAGCGCGTTTGGAGCGGGCCTGCTCTGTGGGGCTGTGTAGCCGCCCTCACCCTGTGCCGGAGCCGAGTCAGGCTCTGCGGGGGAGCAGCTGCCCAGCAGAGTGGGATTTGCTGACCATCTTTAAACTCTTGAAAAAGCTGCGTTTCTGCTGAAACGGAGGATGACGCTGGGAGAGCACGGTTTGGTTTTGTGTCCAGCTGTCAGGCCTCTCTTCCATACTTCCGGTTTCATTGGCTGCTGTAACAGCTCTAGTGAAGAGAAGTATAAAACTCGGCCTTCTGACTCGATGGATTGTGAACAGTAGATGGTGAGGAGTGTAAGCCTCTTAGAAGCCCCTTTGTCTAGAGCATTTTTATGTCATTCTTAAAAATACTTGTTAGCAAATTTATTTGTGTAGGTTTCTATTTGGCTTTTCCTTATTGAGAAAATAAGCACCAGCTACCAGTGGGTGCAGACAGAGACTGCTTTTGATAGGACCAGACTGAAATAGTGATCTCCTTTAACCCGGTACTTCCTTTCTTTATCTCTCTAAGTGGTTCATCCCAGGGTGGCGTGGCATTGGGTGGAGAGAGCAGAGCAGTGGCCTGATACCTTCCTGTCATCAGGTTTGTCCTGGGGTTCTATTTGAGGGAGGTAGCTGAGATTTAGGAGACTTGCTTTGGTTGAATGGCATTGGATCCCAGGGTAGTGTGCCGGGGCTAGAGTAGTGAGAGAGATGCTTGCCACATGCAACTGCTTTTGTATAGCTCGCCCCCTTGGGCCCTTTATGTGTGAATTTGGGCATGTGTGTTTCATTTAAGTTATTTATTAAATATACTTTCCCTTGCTTAAAGGGTGTGATAGATGGGTCATTTTTAAATAGAAGCTGTGATCCAGTTGGAATCCAAATTTGAGAAATAAACGGCATAACTTTTTGCCTTGTAATATGTAAGTGTTCTAATTCTGTGGAATCTTATGGAGAACTCAAAGACAAAAGCCCTTTATCATTTGCCACAGCAGGGTACTGTCTCCCTTTTGACTTGGTGGGTGGATATTTTTGAGCCAGTATTTAACAGTTTTTTTAATCTCTAAGACGTTTTTTTAATCTGCTGTGTTTATTTTTCATGTTGGAACAGTCTCTTTGGAAATGCCTCCTTTTATGGCTTTGAACATTTCATTTCTTTCTGCGGCCAGTTGTAATGGGTTCTGATGTGGTGTCAGTACAGGGCAGTGCTGTGCCAGTGGGCATAAGCGTGAAGACAGATCACTGAGTGAGCTACGCTAGTGGTATCAGTGAAAACCACAGACAGTGGAGTTTCTAACTTTGTACAGTGATAGACTTTTGCCCCGGGGCCAGGGAATCTGGAAAACTCCACTGCCACAGTGAAGGATGAGGAGATACTGACCGCACCTGAGCGCCAGAACATGTTCGAGGAGCTGGCACTGAGCCCGCAGCTGGCCCTCCACCCACTCCTCACCCTGGGTAGCCTTCTTGGGAGCACCCTTGGGAAATGGAGTAGTGGAGGGCTGTTGACTGCGGTAACCACTGGGTGATCCAGAGGCGGCCGTTCTGTTGGCTTGTAAGGAAGCCAGCAGGTCCTGGAGTGTCAGAGCAGAGCCTTTCTCTCCTCCCGCGTAGCGGGGGTTTTGTGCAGCTTCCTTCCCAGGAGCCTCTGTTCGGATATGGTTTAAATATGCCTCCTAGGAGAACCTGTGGTCCTTGCACCTGGGCCCCGCAGTGACCAGCTGTGTGGCCCGTGCATAACCGGGGAAGTCATCTTTGGGAACGGACTTCCCTAGACTCTCGCTGCTTCCTTACCATCGTACAGGGCCTCACACAAGTGCTGGGAGGTCTTTTCTAAACAGAACTCCTTTTCCCAGGGAGAGCCTCATCCCTGTCCCCTCCGCCCCAGAGCTTTTGTACTGAAGACTGGACCTTGATCTAAACCTGGGTACTGGCATTTGTCAAGATTGCTCTAGAATTTGGGGGAAAATTTGGGTCCGTAAAATGCATAAGCTTTTCAAACCAGTGGTAATTATAACCCAATCTAAAACTCCCCACAGAAAAGCTAGCTTTCCTAGACAGCCAGTGCCGACCGACATCTTTCCACTAGTGGAGAGTCAGTGGAGGGGCTAGCGAGGAGGTGAGTACATAATAGCCTGAGTGCTTGGGTTGCCATGGAAACTGGAGTGTGCGAGGCCACAGCCAGGGGGGCTGAAGAGCCATTGAGCACTCCCCCAGACGTTTGGAGACAGGCAGAGCCTGTTGGGAAAAACACTCCCGCCCGGGGTCCTTGATAACAGGGGTCGCCCTTGGTTCTCCCTGAGCTTGTTCAACAAGAGAAACAAGGTTTCTTAACTGTTTCACCATTTTTTGTATTTCATTCTTATTTGACTTTATATATCAGATATATATATGTAACTGTAAAGAAACAATCATATGCATTGTCTTTCTTTGTTATTCATGTAATATTCTGAAATTAAATTTCTTTTGTTCATAGCCATAGGCTTTGACTGGTCTCTTAATTCCCATTTTGACCGATTGATTATCTTAAGGAGAGGTTGCCTCTTAAGAATCACCCCCCCCCCCCAGTTTTATTGAGATATTATTGACACGTTGCTTCTTGTTCTGAGTCCTGTGAAACCTAAGAAAAGCACCTCTTTGGCTTGTTTTCTTTCTGGGCAGGTGAGTTGAGGGGGAGTGGGGCTTTTGGCCGATAGGAAGTGGGATTGGAACCCCTGGGAAATCTGAGCTTTCTGATGTCCTGTGGCTGAGTCTAGAATGTTCTGCACAGATTTCAGTTTCTCACATAATCTTACTTCCTCATTTAAAAATAAGGAGTGACAGTTATAATAACAGTAAAAACCAAATGACATTTTTATCTAGGACAGCAAGTAGTGTTTAGACAACTCTGGTTGAAATGTTTCTGCCACTTATGTATGTGACCTTGGGGATGTCCCCTCATCTGTAAGGTGGGGATAATGGTAACTTGTCTCAGTAATGATGTGCTCTCAGATCTTAAGGGCTTAGCAGAAAAGGTTTTAGTCTGGAGTCTGCGATTGTGCTTTGGAACATTGTTTGCCCTTGTGATTCTATGTAAAATTTTGTGTACATTTGAATGTTTCTAAGGGAGAGATTTTATAATTTTCACAAGATTCCCAGAGGAGTCCTTGACCACTAAAATACTGAGAACCACTAGCCTTGCCCAGTGCCTGGCAGATGGCAAGTGTTCATTAGATGTTAATTTTCTCTCTCTCTCTTTGCCAAGAATACATTTTATAATCAGCAGGTTATTGATGCTGACATAGTTATTTTTGATAACAAAGGAGTTACTTAAGTCTGGACCACAAATAAAAACCCTGCAGTTGTCTTTGCTCCCCTACCTACCCATGCGCTCCTTTTTTTGCCATGTTGGGTCTCTAGGTGCTGCTCAGAACTCTGTCCCTTTCCTAGTCCCCCAAGGACCAACTCGTTATTTACTGTAAGGAAAGGAGCCATGTCTTTTTCTTGAGTGAAGCACGCAGGAAACAGTAATGCGGAAGACAAGAAAAGGGGTGGAGGGGGCAAGAGTTATTTTGAAAAATAAGAGGATCAAAATGCCTAGTACAGTGCTGAGCACATAATCAATATGCAAACTGTAGAAAGGATTGAAGAAACAAATCTGCATTAAACAGCAGAAAGGGAAGATGGGAAAACAGAGTTTTCCTGGGAAGAGTTTTCCTTAGTCTCCCCTTCCTCCTGGGCCAGTTCTGTGGCCTCTGTTCCCAGGGCTGGCTGCCCACCTTTTGCTCCTACCTCCGTTTCTGAATTAAAAGCATATGGGGGTGGAGATGGTAAGGAAGGCTGAACCCCAGGCTGGAGGGTCGTGGTATAGAGTTCATCAGGATTGTTTAGATGTTTTAAAGTCCCAGCCTCTCAGTTTCTCCCCTAAAAAGCAAAAACAAAAACCAAAAACAAAAATTAAGGTTAGGAAATGGCTAAGTCTTGGTCCAAGTTGGTCATTAATACCCTTTACCAGCAGCATCCAGTGCCCAGATTCCTAGAGTCTTCTACCTGGGAACTGGGATGAAGATTGGCAGGAAGGGCCGCTGGTATCCATGCTAGCTTTCCCCTCTCATTCCCAGAAACACGCCTTTTAAAATTTGTACTGCTCTAGTACTGAAGACTGCTTAATTCAGTTGAACCAGACCTGTGGGCAACAGAGAAACGGACTGTCTAAAAATTGTGAGTGCAGGAGTCGTTCCTCAACATCCGTGTATGTAAGTGGGGTTGCTTTTGAGAGTTCCTGCTGTGCACATACTTCCCAGTTTTCCCACATTGAAATAGGGCTGTGGCAGGGGCTCTAAGGAGTTCAGGCCTCCTATGAATGAAAACCAATACCATCATTTATTGAGTACTTACTATGTACCAAGCTTTGTGCTCGCCGGTTAATTCCTTATCTCACTGAAGTCAAAACATCTCCGTGAAGTATTGCTATCTCCAGTTTTATAGTAGAAGACATATCAAGAGTTTAATGTACCCATGTCAGCTAAAAAGTGGTAGAGTCAAGATTAACACCCAGGACTGCCTGACTTCAAGAACTGTGGGCTTTTAGAGGAGTTACCCACCCAAGGTCTACAAGAGCCAAGAAGGAAATCTAAGGTTATGAAAACAACAACTACTTCAAGAGATTGAAAAACACTGTGGGAGCCAAACGCAACTCCTCCACGGCCTGGGTTGGCCCACGAGCTCCACTAGGCATCCTCTGTATGACACTGGGCCACGCATCTTCTGGCTGGGCTCTGGGTCTGCGCAGGACGTTCTCCTGAGGTGCTCAGTGCTGGCTCTGGGAGACAACAGGTGTGCCTGTCAGGAGTGGTGAGCTACGGGAGGGTGGTGTCCGCCATAACCACCGCCTAAAAAAAAAAAAAAAAAACGGCCCCCCACGGCTGGCAACTGCTTAGGGAGAGTCTTTCCTCATCTCTCTGCTTTCTCATACACACTTTCCAATAGTAACCTCTAGTTGTGGATATTGAGTACTTGAGACGTGGCAGTCTGAACTGAGATATGCTCTCCATGTGAAATACGCCCCAGAATTCAAAGCCTTAGTTAAAAAAAAAAAAAAAGAATGTAAAAATGTCTCAATTTTTATAAGTATTACACATTGAAATGATATTTTGGATATATTGGGCTAATTATTAAAGCTAATTTTGTTTCTTTTTACCTTTTTAACATGGATGCTAGAAAATACTAAATTACATAAATGGCTCATGTTATATTGCTATGTCCCAGAACCTCTCGGGCTCTAATCCTAGGCTGTCCTTTCTCTCTGCACCACCAACCTGCTCCTCAACTCCATTGGCACCTGTGGCCATGTCTTCCCTTTTCCTTTAGTCATGAGACTGCCCTGGAGAGGGCACGGAAGTTCACAAAGAAAGTGGTGAAAGGTTTATCCACTGGCCTTTTTGGGATTGGCTCCTGCCCGCCATGGCTGGCTATGGGAGTCCTCCCCATGGTTCAGCTCATGGGTGTGCACAGCCCTGGGGGCCGATGGGATCACTGCAAGGGGACTTAAAGTCAAGGTGTGCACCAGGCACTGCCTGCCTCTTCCAGAGGCGACTCTGCCCTTCAGTGTTTGTCCGTGTCGTGATCCATCAAGATATTTTTTAAGTTAATGAAATCATAATAAGGTGTGTGTGTGTGTGTGTGTGTGTGTGTGTGTGTGTGTGTGTGTCCTGTAGTTTCTATATGGATCAAAATGCAGCTGTAAAGTGTAGAAACTGAAATTTGGGGGTGTTAAGAAGGGTCTTCGTATTCCCAAATGCAGGGAACTAGTGATAAATTCTCTAAAAGCAAAATGAGCGGAAGTTGGGCTGGTCGGAGCAGGAGAGAAAACATTAGAAATGCGACCTCCCTCCCCAGGACCAACTATCTTGGGCATAAAGACACATTAATTTTTCTGTTCAGCTTAGAGGCCTAGGGCCAGGGCCTTCTGCCTCCCTCTGATGAAAAGCCACTGGGATTTACCGGAAACTTAATGACCCAGTAATCCAGGCTTTATTAAGTACTTTAATGTAACTGGAATTGACCATTAATGAAGGTCTCGTGTTGCAGCCACTTCTTGAACACTAGCTGCCGGTATTGTGTGGAATGAACCAGGAAGAGGAGGAGAAGGGAGAGGAGAGGCATGGCCCTCTGCCTTGTCTCTGCTTCCCTCTTCAATGGGAACGCAAAAGCCTATGCTTTCCAGAGGAATCTAGAAACCATATGGTATGGAGGAAAAGGGGATATATTTAGCCTTTGGCAAATCCTCAACAGACATAGAAGCAGCGCCTGTCAGAGCTAGTTGGGACTTCGAGACAGTGGCACCCTCTCATTGTGAGGAGGGGGGGCGTTGGAAGGACACCACCAGATTGCCCACTCCTACTTCAGCCAGGGAGCTGGCTCCTTGGTCTCTGGTTCACCGTAAGAATTTAAATAAGGGGCCTGAAAGTCATGGAACTAGCTCACAAACGATATATTACAGATAGAAATGGTGATTTACAGATAGAAATGAGGTGCTACATCCAGTGAATGGCCGTGAGTGCCCACGAATGGACTTGACTCCATCTTTCCTTTTAAAGCAACTCTAAGCATATAGTGGGATAAGATGTGTACATCCCTGTAACCACCACCCCAAGTAAGATGTACAACATTTCCATCTTTCCAGAAAGTTCTCTCATGCCACTTGGTAGTCAATCCTCCATGTGCCTGCCCCAGGCTACCATCTCTTTCCTGTCACTGGAGATTACTTTTGCCTCTAATCCCACTGCCTGATTTGCAGTTGGAGTGTTGACTATGCCTCCTTTCACTGCCTGGCTGACTTTAAATATCTGAGTGTTCCCATGTGGAGGAGGAAGGGCCTGTGTTAACATGTTTCTGTTTCTGAGGCCAATGGCAGGAGAGAATGAATCTAGCTTGTGGAAGCCCGAGTTCCCTGAAGGCAGGAGCTGTTCCTTATTTTCTGTTTCTGCAATACCTATAGAACAGCACCTGGCACATAGGAGGCTCTTAGTAAATGTACTGAACTGAATCAGATCTGTCCAATAACGGAATGATTACCCGTTAGAGAAGCTGTTCAGTTCCTTCCTGGTTGAAAATGTGCCGGTAGCGGCGGTGCCCATCACTAATGAAAACGGGTGAGTTTGAGCTTTCTGACCTTGCATGATAGACGCAAGGGCTGGAGCCATGTCCAACCATCTCGGTTCAAACCTGGTGGTGCAGTGCAGTGGGAGAGATGGTGAGTTCTACTATGGTGCGGTAGGTGGTGGGGAGTGCTGAGTGCTGTGGAAGCAGAGGGGAGGGGCGTAGAGCCCAACCGAGAGATTTGGGAAAGCTTATCTGGAGGGCACGTGCCATGAGGGATGGCGAGAAGTAGCCTGTGGAAAGGGATTTGGGTGCCGGAGAAACAGCCTAAGTAAATGCACAGCAGCGTGAGAGACCCTGGTGCATGTGACATAATTGCTCTGAGTGGGGAGATGGGCT